CATCAGACGGACGTTTCAAGATGCGTTTGGAAGCGGCAAACGTAGGACGGTCTACCAATGGTCCGATTTGTTCTTTCGGGAGTTCGTTCACTCGATCCGTCGTAGCCTCATATACCAGAGTTTGCCATTCCTTGTACTTCCCTGACCCGACTGTCACCAAACCTTGAGTTCGCGGTACCATATCGCCTTCGACCCACATGCCTAATGTAGTGTGGGTGGGCAGTATGATCTCACGGTCGCCAATGTTGGTCATCTGCAGGTATTTCGTCTTACCCCACCCCGAGATCACAGTGGGGACCCAATCTAGTCCTCTAGCGACCCACAACTTCATCTTAGCCCCTCCGATCCCGATCTTCACTTCCCTTGACTCTCCGACCGGGATCACCACGTGTTGGTCCTTCGCCGTTATATGTTGTATCTTCGATCCGTACGCGGGTCGACGTCCTGCGAGATGAATGCGGATTTCTTCTGGTAGACATAGCGCGCCATCCGCTAGATCGAGCCGCACTCCAGCAGGCACCATAAAATCCATACCCAGAATCGCTTCTTGCCCTGCCAGATCGCCTACCCATACATTGAAATAGTATAGCAGCGATCCCGCGAGGGTCACCTTGATCTTGGTACGTCCTACCGTCATGTACGGAGTTTCTCCAATCCCGATACATTCTTGTCGTTGACTTTCGTCAATATTGCAACCCACCTCACGAGCAAAGGTGGTGTCAATGATCGACACTTCAGCACCAGAATCAAATAACAGAGTAGCTTTTACGTTGTTGATCTTGCCAACGGCTTTCGCTTGTTTGAACCACTTCCCGGGTGAATAATGTTTCCAGTATCCGCGAGATTCACCATAAGCGAGCTCGATCTCCATAGCTGGTTCAGATCGTGAGTACTCATCGATCCGCTTCAGATGGGACACGGAAGCGACACGTTTTAACTTCGAACGAGATATATTTGTTTCCACGTCAATATCCTGCTTACTCTCGCGATCTGTCTTCTTTTTTTTTCCACGTATGCAATAATGCAGAGCCCAGAACGCTCGGCTCGTACCAGATTCAAACCTGGCGAGCGTCCTAGTTTAACATCTTCTCGGCCTTCTCTGGTAGCATCCCCGCATGCTTATTCGGGACGTACCACTGACGGATCATGTTGTAGAACTCCTCCATGGGACACTTCCCCGGGTCGTGCATCTCACCGCAAGCACGACACACGAAAAAACAATTGTCAGAGGGGTGTCCTTTACGCCCACACTTCTGGCAAGTGAGCCGCTTCCAGCAACCGAGATCTCCATGCTTGGTCGATCCGCAATGAGTACACGGCTTCAATGGCATATTGCGATCTTGATAGTCTTGACGAGTGTTCGGGTCGACCGATCTCGCGTTTGCTGCAACGTCATTGGGGGATGAACGGCGATCCGCAGTAGCAGCCACATGGATCGATCTCAATCGATCTTCCAAATCCGATCCGCAGGTGTCCGATCCTGACTCGCTGCAGACGTCCTCGGTACGGACCATCCTTACCGCTCGTGCAGGCTTAGACAGCGCTGGACCCTGAGTTCCCTTCTGCCTGAATTTGGACGATCCCATCATCACTTTCCCTTGACGCGATCTCCCTTGTTGATATCCGTGCAGTGTCTTTTGCATGGCCTCCGCGTCTTCTACATTCAGCAGTAGCAATTGATTGGACAGATCGGGGTCGTCCAAGGTGTCAATGAAATGGTTGACATGTTCCTTGCGCGCAGCTGGCAATCCAGTCATCACCGGTATCTTCGCCTGCATTCCCATCACATTAAGCCGATACAGGTACTGTAAAGGATCTTCCTCCGATCGTTTCTTTGCATGGTAGTACTGCCTGCTCGCGGACATCCCGTGTCCCGCATACTCCACAAGAAAACTGTTCATCAATTCTTTCCAATTGAATCTCGTCGATCTACTCAGCTGTCGGTACCAGTAGCGGGCTGGGCCCACCATGAGATCACCGAAGACCAGACATCTCTCCTCGTCCGGTGCTTGGTCCCGGATAAACGCTGATTTCACTTTGCCGATCCAGGTCCGTGCTTTGTCTTCTTCCCGATCCTTCCCTGAGAATTCTTTCAGCTCAGAAATCGCTGAGATTCTGATCCTCTGCGTGATGCTTCCCCCTCCGGTAGTCGCACCGGTCGCGGCTACATGAGGGCGCCGTGGTTCGGGCATCCATAGATCATCCGGGTCGTATTCCGCCGCCTCATGGATATGTTGGTAAATGTCCGACCCCACCGACTCCATCTCCACATCCGGCATGTCAAGGCTTTCGTGTGAAGGTTGGAGCAAAGTACGTCGATCTGGGTAGCGGTTTGGCTGTCGATTCATTCGCTGAGCTGTACGTTGATCCGCCTCGTACTTCTTCATGGCTGAATTGAAGTACCGACTTAGATCGCCCTCTTCTTGATCCTCCAGCCCAGTGCGGGTACTGGCCGATCTCTGCGGCATGTTGCTCTTGGCTTGTCCCTTATAGGCGTCGATCTTGGCTTGTCCGATCTTGTCCTTTAAGAACCTTCCACCCGATGGTCCTAGAGACATCTGACGAATGCTGATGGATCCATCTGACTCGCTCTCGGAGTCATCCGAGGCGTAGCGGGCGATCCCGCGGGGTGTTTACGGAGCGAGCCCGAGGGCGTCCCGATCTTGTCTTCAGGAGTATTCGCTTTGCCCACCAGCATTATCATGATCTCTACAAACTCATTCGCCGCGTCCTTCAACTGTTCCAAGCTGCAACTCAGCAGTTCATCTCCATCAAAAGCGTCAGGGCAGATACCCATGTCGTCCAACATCTGCAAAATCAAATTGATCTCGTCGACTTTGTTGGTCCCGTGAAGTGGGACCGAGATCGGCTTATCCAGAGGACCAATCACCTTGGGCCTTAATATCTTGAACACTGGGTCCGTCTTGAGCAGCGTCTTCAACTGGCCATAATAGTACTGCCATTTTGCACGCTCCCGCGCTTCACCCGTCGTCTCCTTCTCCATGGACGCGATCTTTATTGGGTTATATTCCGTCTTTGGCATCGCGATCTTATCTGGTGTTTCATCGTATTCCTCTTTGGCTCCGATCTTTGATTGCACGGTTCGGCCGATCTGGCGATCTTTGACATCTGATCCCATCGATCTCGTCGCGGATCGTTCTGATGTGGTCGATCTCGCGATTGTGCTCTTCGGCTTGAGGTCGGGCGATCTATCGACTAAGATATAGGGTTTGGCTTTCGCCGATTTGGTTTTCACCATTGGATTTTCATCCAGCAGATCGCTCTTTGCAGAGCGATCTGCGGTGGCCCCGAAGGGACCCTAGGAGGAATTGAGGTTTATCTTCCAGATCGATCTCTCGATCTTCCTCTTTCATTTTCATTTCATCAGAGCCCCTCCCAAAACTCTGATGATCTGAGGATCTTGTGCTTCTGCGTGTCTGCGTCGATCCCTTTGTCGCTGACACTTCAATCCCAGGTTCTTGCTTAATCTTGACATCTTCGCCAGTGGACTCACGGTGAAATCCAGAGGCCTCAGAAGATCCGGGCACGCGCACCATTGTGGTGAAGTCGATCTCACAAAATTGCTTGTATGAGTGTCGATCTTCCACTTGCCCAGACTTGCCGACTCACGGAGGGGGTACTCCGATCCGTGCCTTGTTGTATGACCTTGTGCTCACCTTGTGTACCCGTCGGTTGGGCTGGCTTGAGCTCTTCGTAACGGCCTTGGGAGATGTCGATCTCGCTGAGAGGTTGGGTTGAGGGTTCGCTTCCGGTGCGGAAATCTTCACACCACGAACGGGGGTTCTGCGATCCCGATCTTGGATCGCACCGATCTTGATTTGTCTTCGAGATCGGGGTCTTTGCTGTGCGGAAATCTTCACTCAGCAAATAAAAGTCCTGCGTCGATCTTGCCTTGGGATCGGTCCGATCTGGTCTTGGGATCGGCCGATCTTGCCGGAAGTGCGCAATTTGGGTAGATCGGTGTCTTGTTTCGCCAAAATGAAACGTGCCGATCTGTCCAGGGGATCGCTTCGATCCTGCTCGGTCTTGTCTTGAACGCCTTGTCCAGATCTTCTGACCACTTGAGCCGTCTCGCGATCCTGTGTCCAAAATCCTTTTCCTTTTCCGTTGTGTGCTGCTACCCTAGCAGTTGAGTTGAGTGTGAGTACTTGATCGATCCGGGCCAGATATCCCGGGATCGCTCTTCTCGATCTTGGCCAACAATCCAAGATCGGTCTTCTGTGTCCCTGTAACACGCGTGCCTTAACCCGCCGGGGAAGCCAAATCAATCTTGCCTGGAGAAGAGGGGAGGATAACGTGCGTCGTGAGCAGAAGAAGTAGAGTTCAAGTCTGTTTATTAACCAACCAAATTACTATCCAACCTACCCTTAAGCCTATTCTTAACTATAGGTCACTCTTCAAACCGATATCGCCTTGAATCTGGTTCGCCCCCTTGCCACGTGTCGAAATTTCGTGCCCTGTACTCCAATGATAGCGCCAATATCCCCGATATCGTACCTAGAGCACCAAATGGACCAAAATCTCCTATATGGTACCAAATACCCATTCTTGGCACCCAAGTACCCAATATATGACCCAAAATGCCGAATGTGTCCAAATTCACTTTGCGACGTCAATTCGGACAGCTTCCACTGGCTCTTTCGGCATGAAACTTCTTGACATCACTTAGTGACCTCTATCAAGTATATTCCACATGATCCAGTATCTTCATCAACCATATATTCATGATCAGTGTGGAACATGACCGATCTGTCATCCAATATCGAGATGTTGGAGGTCGATCCGGTCTAAATCGGCAATTAACACTTTTTTCATCTCCTCATACGTGCTTCAATATCATCCTCCAGTGTTATCCAATCGACGACTTCATTCATACGTCTCGACATCGGTTTCCTTGACTCCCCTGAGTATGCAAAACTTCCAGATCGGTGTATAATTAATCAAAATCAGTACTCCCAATTTAGGATCGGTAAAGAGTATCACCGATCCGTATGGTGTTGCACCTTCTTTGCCGATTCACCGACCCGTACCACCTGGTCCCAGATGCACTTTGGGGAGTCACCTTGTCCCAGATGTGTCAATTCTCCAACAAACCGTTGCCACAACATGTCGATCTGCGATCTGATCTTAGCCTGCTTCAATGTACGTATACTTCTTCTTGACCGGCATTCCAATGAGCTGTATGACTTCATCCCGATGTCTGGTTCCAGATCGCCCCATAACATTCTGCAAGATGTTACACCTTCGTCGCAGAGTCATATCCCATCACCCGGTCCCAGATCCTTGTCCCAGATTGTTCCGTGTAAATCGTTCCAGATCGCTCCGTCCCAGGTCGATCCATACCCATTAGTCTAACGACAGTTGGATCGGTTCGCCGATCCCGTTAAGATCATCTTCCACCTCCGTATTGGATCGACGAGTCTCATGGCCTCCTTTTCCACCAGTAAGCGGCGCTTTAAAGGTGTGGCCACCGATCCTCGTACAAAATTTGAGTAGTGACTTTGCCACAGGTGCGTTTGCCCCGGACGTCCCGGCACATCGAGCTCCTCTATTAGTGTGACCCGCTGTAATGCTTGATTCTGAACCTCCACCACCAGCAGAAATAGAAGCAGGGCAACCAGGCTAACCTGTCGAACACCTGATCGCACCTGATGGGCTTGGGACTGACAGCCGTTCACTTCAAAGCATTATGACGTTGGTCGGTATGGAGGTTCACTACGAGCCTGGTTTGGTGCGATGTATTTTCTAGACAGCGTGCAAATTTACCGCATGCTGCGCCAATTTCACATGAACCGAGTCAAGACGGTGCGATCACCACAAATGCAAAACGAGTAGGCAATGGTCAAACATACTGACAACAGCAAGATAAGAGACCCGAATGTACCTACCATGAGGCAATCAGGGAGCTACAGTATCTGGTTACGTGTACTAGACCGGATATCGTCAATTCTGTGCAGAGTCTCGGCCGGCACACAGACGCGTTTAGTACAGAGAATTACGCTCAGGAAAAGTGTGCTTTACGCTATTTAAAGGAACAAGAACAAGTGACGTGTCTTGTATGCGCACTGAAGCTGATCCTTGAAGGTATATCCATGTAGTGATGCTGATTGTGCTGATTTTCAGGATACATCGTTGTTCAGTCACTGGTTTCGTGCTTTAACAAAAAGGATGGAGCTTTTGATAAACGAGCAATACACAAAGGCAGGCACGGATGATACATGTAAGTCATAATCAATACCCGCCAGTGTGTGAATCAATCGGTTTGTGTGGCTCAAAAATCGATTAAAGATCTCAAATGAAAGCAATCAGCCGGTGAAGTACGCGTGTACAACTGGAGCACCCTATCGATCTGCTCAAATGCCGGGAACTATGATTGTGCGATACGTTTCGCGAAGAAGAGCAACAAGATCGCAGAGATGGTAGAGATCTGCAAATTTACCATTAAGTGTGTCTCAGCCAAAATTAAGGTTGCAGACATATTTACTAACTCCTCGGAATTCAGCAGTTTAGAAAATCAACGGAGCGACACGTGGCGAAACATATGACTTCTGTGATTACACACTTTTAATGGGTCGAAGCAAAGGCATGAGCGAGGACGACTTCATTCTGAAAAAATCGACCGAAGGAACACTCGAGTGTACAACACCATCGCATTGACAACTCAACCAGCTTTATTCATGATGAGTGTACGAATTCATTTCTCGTTCTATCGATCTATTATCAGTCGGCAAATCATGGTGCTCTGGAATGATACGAGTACGCAACCGGTTGTCGGTAGGAATGCACAGCAGTTTGACTTTGTAGGCAGATTTGATCAACAAGAGGCCCCCCTCCTTGACATAGTCGATATTAATGGGTACATCATCGACCCAAAACGTGCTAAACTCGGTACAATTGCGAAAGCCTTGTTGAATCCCACGTTTGGCTTTCGGTGCCAACTCGACCCGTGAAAGCACAAGCGTTCTGACGGAAATAAAGGTTTCACGAGCCGACCCCGGTCGATATGGCACCGAAGCCGGTAGGCGGAAGCGAGAAGCACGAGAAGCACAAGACGGAGTGCAACGATTCGAAATGTCAAAAATGCTCGCTGTGAATAACAGAGAGGGAAGGACAGTGGTGTTTAGTATGAGAACTCTGTTTTCACACTGGTCGCTACCCGCGTTGCCGTGAAGAGGCGTCCTTGGATGTTCTGGATCCGAAGGGCCCAGTTCTGTTCTCTAAACCCCTGTTCCAATCTCGTAACCTAGATACCTGGTTGTGTCTCCCGGTGACTCGGCTTCGATCCCCTCGTAGCGCTTGACCACGATCGCCCTGTTTATTAAAATGAGCTTGCTTTTGTTCGGTTGGACATGCGGGCTCAATAGTGTTCCAAACTCGGTGACAATGCTCAAAGCATGCGAAATTTGCCCAGCCTTCACGAAGAAGAGTGTGGAGTCATCGACAAACACTGAAAAGAGGTGCGTTTGCCCCGGAAGTCCCGGCACATCGAGCTCCTCTATTAATGTGACCAGCTGTAATGCTTGATTCTGAACCTCCACCACCAGCAGAAATAGAAGCAGTGCTACCAGGCTAACCTGTCGAACACCTGATCGCACCTGATGGGCTTGGGACTGACAGCCGTTCACTTCAAAGAATTATGACGTTGGTCGGTATGGAGGTTCACTACGAGCCTGGTTTGGTGCGATGTATTTTCTAGACAGCGTAACAATTTACCGCATGCTGCGCCAATTTCACATGAACCGAGTCAAGACGGTACGATCACCACAAATGCAAAACGAATAGGCAATGGTCAAACATACTGACAACAGCAAGATAAGAGACCCGAATGTACCTACCATGAGGTAGTCAGGGAGCTACAGTATCTGGTTACGTGTACTAGACCGGATATCGTCAATTCTGTGCAGAGTCTCGGCCGGCACACAGACGCGTTTACCACAGAGAATTACGCTCAGGAAAAGTGTGCTTTACGCTATTTAAAGGAACAAGAACAAGTGACGTGTCTTGTATGCGCACTGAAGCTGATCCTTGAAGGTATATCCATGTAGTGATGCTGATTGTGCTGATTTTCAGGATACATCGTTGTTCAGTCACTGGTTTCGTGCTTTAACCAGAAGGATGGAGCTTTTGATAAACTAGCAATACACAAAAGGCAGGCAATGATGATACACGTAAGTCATAATCAATACCCGCCAGTGTGTGAATCAATCGGTTTGTGTGGCTCAAAAATCGATGAAAGATCTCAAATGAAAGCAATCAGCCGGTGAAGTACGCGTGTACAACTGGAGCACCCTATCGATCTGCTCAAATGCCGGGAACTATGATTGGGCGATACGTTTCGCGAAGAAGAGCAACAAGATCGCAGAGATGGTAGAGATCTGCAAATTTACCATTAAGTGTGTCTCAGCCAAAATTAAGGTTGCAGACATATTTACTAACTCCTCGGAATTCAGCATTTTAGAAAATCAACGGAGCGACATGGGGTGAGAAATGTAGCTTCTGTGATAATGCATCTTTTAATGGGTCGAAGCAAAGGCAT